GATATTTTCAATTTATGTGATGAGGGAGCTAGACAGCCTGCCTCCAAGTTCAGCCAGCCTGTTCAGACTCCAAATTGGCAATGAATCATTACACTCACACGGCCACAGGCAGGAGAGGTCTGCGGAGATTGCATTCACCCACTCTAATCGCTACCGCAGCAGCACTGACCAACCCACTCCAGAATTAGGGAGGAGGGAAATAAAATTGTCTGATCTCAAAAACCCAAATACCGCATTACACTACAAAAATTCACAGTTAGCTTTGGGGATGGAGGGTGATTCCTTGGCTTAGTGTTCCTTTCCTAGAGCAAAAGGACGTGAATCCTCAAGAGACTTACTGTGTTATTCCAGTAAGCGGCCAGGGGGAGGGAGCGAAAAGCATTACCGTGGGAGGTGGCACTTCACACTCTTTTTGAAACAAGAATTTGGAGGGCACCCTATATGGTCAGGCTATCAAGGGAACAGAAGATGACAAATGTGACATCAGTTTTTAAAATGAGATCCAGAAGGGATTTCAGGCACTACAGCCCACTAAATCTGACTTCTCTGGGGGGCAAACTGCTAGACGCTGTAATAAATAGCAGAGCTAGTGAATGCCTGTAACACACTATGGAGAGGTCCCTGAAGAAGTCCATAAGGTGTCTGAAAGAGAATAGCATATTTGGATTTCCAAAATGTTTGTGAAAAGGCCCCTCAGAAAACATTACTTAAAAAAACTGATCTGTCTTGGAGCAAAAGGAAAACTCGCCTTGTATACCAACAGGTTAAAGGTGGGACTCACAGCCCAGGAATTGTCAGTGTTCAGATTTCACCTGTGGGACCGTAAGGGAACCTAATTCCATTCATAAATGGACTGCAGAGGAGACAAAGTCCGTTCATGATACAAAATTACTCAGGATAATTAGAACAAAAGCTTTTTGTGAAGGGAAGCAGAACAATCTCGCAATACTGAGTGACTGAGTGATAAAATGGCAAATGAAATTCAATGTTGATAAATGCAAAGTGATGTACTTGGGAAAAACAACCCTAACTATACATACATACTGACAGGTTCCCAATTTGCTATTGCCATTCAGTGACGAGACCTTGGGGTCACAGCTGATAGTTTTCTGGAGGTGTCAGCTGAGTGCTCAGTAGTTGTTAAAAAACAAATAGTATGTTAGGAAGGAGGAAAGTAATAGAAAACCAAACAGAAAACACCACTTTGCTCCCACAGAACTCTGCAGTAAACCCACTCATTAAATACTGCGCACGGTTTTGGCTTTCCCATCTCAAAAAGGATACAGTAAAGGAAGAAAAAAAGGCACAGAAGGAACAAGTCATCGTGAGTCTAGAATGGCTTCCTCAAACAAACAAATTAAATAGTTCTTCAGATTTGAAAGCAGATGATTAAGGGGGAATACGAGCGAGGCAGACAGAATCATGTGAGGCTTTTAAGTGAACAGGGATGTACTTTGTAATGCAAAAACTAGGAGGCACCCAGAGAAGTTATTAGGCATGAGTTGAAAGCAAAAGGAAGTCCGTTCTTGTGGAACAAATTGTAGAATTCATTGCCATGGGATGCTTTGCATGGGATGCAGAAGTCTAAAAGGGTTCAAGAGGCAATTAGAAATTTGTGGAAGATCTATCAAAGACTATTAAACATAATGATGCCAAGAGAATCTCTGGCTAGGCAAGGATTAGATATAATCTCTGGCTCAGGAAGCCTCTCAATCTCTGTTCAGTCTTGCCACTAAACCCTGCCCCAGTGCTGCCCTGTAAAAATGTGGTTCCTTACTCTATGTGCCATAGCAAAAGGGTGCTGGGGCTGCCCAAGAGCAAGCCAAAAAACCTCCTTGAACTTTTTTCAGTATTGGGTTAAACAAATTCAAAGGTGGAATACAGAGTTATATGAGAGAACAGCACTGGCGATGCAGGATTGTGGACTTTATTTAAAAGAGCTATTTGTTGTTCAGTATTAAATTGGGCCTTATATTTCTAGTTTATATCAAAAATCGAAAAATCACAGGACTCAAAGGAAATCTTAACAATTCTGTATATACAAGAAAGCCCAGCTATCACCAGACAATAAAGCTGGCTACTTGCACTATGATTACCCAAGGGAATAAGGATTCGTTTTGGATGTACTTCCCAAGGAAAGGTTTGTGAGTTCAAAGTTCTTTTTTCCCCTGCACATAAAATGCTTCCTAAGCACATTCACAAAATATTTAGCTGTAATTACAGCTCATTTTAAGAGGAGGAGGGAGTATTCGCACAATTTACTTTCAAAGGAATCTTCTTCATGTAAAAACCAACTCAATACAACCCATGACATGCTGCCAAAAACACAGGAAGACTTACACCAAAAACTAGCAACAAACAAACGGAGAATGTTTACTTTCTACATCAGGCAGAGTAGGTGAGTGCATAGCTTAGTCTTTCCTTCCACAGGTTTCACCATCAAACCTCCTCCCACAGAAACTTCTGAAGAAATTTTTTGATCCTTTTCTCATTTAAAAAAATCCCATGCATTGACTGGCTTTGGGAGGTTTCATTTTGTGTGTAATATTGTTCACATTTTTTTCAGCATCTCCTTGCCATCCTCTTCTCTCTTCCTTTTAGACGCAAGGAGCAGATTTTTTTGTAAAAAGCCCATATGACTGCAGAACCTAATATCTCTTTTCAGAAGTTCTCCAGGCATGAAGTCATGATATGGCTGTGGTACTTTCCACCCAAGGCTAGCAGCCCTGTGACACTGGATCTTCTGTTTCAGCTGGAATCCTGCTGTTTCTCCATAAAACATTAGCTAAGCCTTCACTCTAGCTGGCAGATACGATTCCAGCACATACACCATGGCCGGATCTTACTGGATGTGAGAGGTTACACCATTAACCACTTCCAATAGCTGCTGTATAAATGTAACCTCAAGCTCCTCTATCCCACAGCCACTTTCGAAACTGGGATTCTGATCTCTGAGTCAGTTTAGGCACTCAAGAAACATTTTACCTACAGGATGTGTGAAAAATCCTGGATCTGACTCTTTTGTCCCATCACTGGAAGAAAATCAGGCCCAGGAGGCGTCAGCAGGTCAGAAAGGGAGCCGGATGGTTTATCCCAGACAGTGATCAACTTGCTCCTACTCCTTCTCCTTACTCTAGGAGGACATTTCATTTACTCTTTAGGAAGATGAGACCTCAGCTACAGAGAAACGCACCTGGAGTAGCTATACTGACTTCAAAGGAGACACTACAAATTTTAAGCCAGCACGGAGAACAGAATTCGGTGTGTGCAGTGCAGTCGGTGGAGTTTAACTTCCCTTCAGAGGGGACCCCGCGCTCCTCAGAACAGGACTAATTGGCCAAAGCCATCGCTCCCGACTGGCTGCCGCGGCGTGGCACACGCAGCAGGGAGCTCCAGGAGGGAAGGGAAAAAATAGGGCCATTAAAGCAGTGTTTTTCTTTGCTAAAACATGGGCGGAAGGTGTCCAACATTTGTTAATAGCAGTGATTTTGCGACAGCTGAAGCAAAGCCTGCTTAAAGCCAGACCAAGTTTACAGATGTGTTGCTGATTATTTTGAATAATTAAATGGTGTAAAACCCAGCTGTGATGAATAGCACTGGGGTCGCAATTTATAAATAATTGAGAAGAGTGAGTCGCATTTGATCATCCTGATCAAATTCTACTCCCTGGAGAATAAATGTTTGTCCTGAATACCATCAACATTGTTAAATGCCTCAATATTCCTGCTCAGCCATCCAGCCAGCAGTCAATTGAACTAAATCACTTTAACACCTTACACATTTGCCTTCCTCATGAATACAAAATGTTTTTAACTTACACAACGGTCTTTGGGCATCAGACAAAGCAGCCACTCTTTATAGACAGTAACCAAACAGCAACAATAAATGTTTTAAATGATCCCATTAAAAACAATTCCTGCATACAGTCTTGTCTTTACTGCAGTAAGTGAAGCAGCCGTAGATATTAGGCCACCTATTTTGTTTCATTGCCTTGTTTGTAAGCAGAGCTGCCTCTCTGATCCACATGCATGGCACAAACACACCTCCTTTTGCTGGCGGGGATGCCAGTAGCGCAGCTCCGTGCAGTTTCCTGGGGCTCCTCCTGCTTCTCAGTACTTCCAAAAGTTCAGCAGTGACTGTGATTACACTGAATGAAATAAATGCCTAAAAACTAGCCAGAGAATACCAACTTGAGCTTATTAAGGCTTGACTCTGCAGCCCATCCTCACACTGCAGGATGTTTACCATGCTTGTGCAATACAGGTTTGGTAATCCAGAGGTGGAAAACTGTTTACACTTCATTAGAATTACCTCCAATTTATAGCAGATTTATAGGTCAGAATCTGTCCTAAACAGGTAACAAGATGCAAAGTTTAAAATAGTCTCATTAGGTAAATACTACCAACTAAATCCTGAAGCCTTTCTCCTTGGTTTTACTGGAACCAAATACCAATGACTTCAACAGCAATCTTTCCTGGCTGAACAGAGGATGAACAAGGACTCCAGGAACCGACCCATAGTTTGGGTTCTCAGAAAAGACCAAATTCTACTACTCTTACTTATAGTGAGCACTACTTTACTCCTTTTGGGCTACTCAAGGGGTATGTGACTTCTCAGTGTGAGTAAGAGGAGCAAATTCTGGGCCAACAAGAATAAAATAAGCTGCAGATTATAAGAAGAGCCTGGAGTTAAACCCAACTGCTTTTATCTCCATGTCATTCCTGAGGGATTGCAGGCAGCTTTTCCTATTTAATAAAAACCTCGGAGGACACCCCTTTACAGGCACCAAATCTGTGATGGTTACAAAGCACCTGTAAATGCCCAGTCCCACATTGTTCATACCTGTTAGCAAACCGGTATTTCCCTATTTCTTCTGATACCTTCGAGCATTGCATTTACCTGACATGACAACATCACACAGATGTCGCACGGTCCCTAACTATTAACACACAATTGACTTTAGGAAAATAACATTTTATTAGTGGATCATTAAATCATACCTCAAAGTCTTCCGAGAATCCATGCTGGTTATTAGAATACAGCTCACTGATGTGTTTAACAAACTGCTTGACTGGAATTGCTTCCATATCATCTGTAGAAAGAAAGAGAGATTCAGATTTGCTATTTGTCTCACACAAAAACTTCAGGAGAGAAAGTCTTCACTCAGTATCACTTCGATTTGAGTTTCCAGGGGCAGAGCTAGTTCAATAATAATAAATCTTGATGAATCTGGCCCATTTTTAAGTAAACTCTTCATATTATATTTCTAATTCTAAGCTCTGCAGTTATGGATACTGAGAGTCTATTCCCCATGATGATAATTTACAAAGTCCAATTGAAGTTCAAGGATCATTTAGTTCTTGTTCGCAGTTTGAAGATGGCTGCAGATGGGGTGAAGAGGCCTCCTCTCCTTCCACATTGTATAAAAAGAAGAGACCCAAAATATGAAAGTACAGTTGACAATTGCCCCCAGTAAGTTTTTACCAGACTGAGCAGAGACATAGGTTTTTCTCCTGAAAGTTATTAACTTTTTCCTTTTTACACAATGATGTACAATCCAAATGGACTTATCACAAAACTGTCGCTGAGCAAAAGAACAGGCAACGCAACACCTACACTAATTTGAGTTCTCTCTCACACCAGGCACTATTCATAACATTGAATATGTATTCCGCTGGACCATTTGTTCTTGCTCAGCACAGTGCAAATTCCACCCAATATACCAATAAATCACCCGCAGACGTTTTTGTAAAAGAAAGAAGTCAAAGGCTTGAATTGAATTAAAGACAAACAAGACTGTTTTGAGCACCTGGGACTCCGGACAGATTCTAATAAAGCTGGGGTGGAGGATGGCTGCCTTATTTCTCTCTCTTTCTCGCTCTCAAAAAAGGCCTAGATGTTGTTATAACCGCCACTGCAGTTGGTAGAAACACTGCGCTTGCCAAGATTCATTAGTTAATATTTTCAGTCTGGCATTTAGAAAATGTAAATTGCTATACAACTGTGATTAGTTTCAGCATGTGAAATAATCTATTGCCTGATGGCTACTATTGTCTGTTTGCGTGATTTTATGGCAATACTCTGGTATTTATATATCCCATTTAATATTCTTCTGAAGATCGCATCCAGTTTATGTTTACTTCCAGTAATTCGGTGGTGTATTTTTGCTCCCGTTTAGCAGCCATATGGTTTGGTGCTACAGCTGCATTATAATCTGGATTCTTTTACTTTTAAACATCTACATTATGATAGAAAAAATCCAAATATTTCTACAGATACTTAGCAAAATTTAACGATAAATAAATAGATGTGACATTTACTGTATTCAGAGTGAAAGATCTTTGGCAGCTAAAACCTCTAAGCTGTCACATATGCTTTTCTTAGCAAAGGGTAGGAAGATCTGTATGTGTAAATGAGGTTCTACTTTGGCAAGAATTTTATAGATCCCTGACAATCTGATTTCTCTCCATCTGATGGCAGTTAATATTGACCACGTCATTACTTCTCTACTCTCATTTTATCAGGTAATGCTCTAAGGTGGCTTTTTTTGTTTACTGACATTTTCCGATTTCAATCAGCTCTCTTCTATTTTATTTACAAGAGCCAATTGCTAAAGTTATGTTTGCAATCTGATCACCTCCCAGTATAGTAATGCTACTTTAATTAACCACATGCTCGTTTACTGAATAATAGAGAATTCAAAACATGACAAGTGTATGCTCATCTTAGCAAAAAGCTGCAGCATGCAGAAATGCTGGCACTTTACAATATTTAAGTGATAACATTTATTCTCTGTAATATTGAGAGCATCATCATCTCATAACAACATTTGTATTAATATTTTTGCAGCCAAGACACTTGAATGAAATGATCTATGGGAACTGCAGTCAATAGTGAGAGCCTGCAAAACAATCTTTCTTCTCCTGAAAAGCAACCCATACATCCTAGATTTCCTTGAAAAGAACTTGTGCTACGATAGCAATTTCACATACTCTCACAAGAAAAGTTCCATAGTTATCATTTGGTCTTTTTTTTCTTGAGTAGCCTAGCTCAACTGAGACCAACCAAGATCAAGGACTCACTGCAGCAGACCAGTGTGTCCAATTTAATTTTGCAGAAGGCAGAATTTAATTTTAATTGTGATCCGTGAGCCAAAAAATACATTAGAGATAACGTGCTCTCTGGTCCATTGAATTCCCACCAATTTCAAGGATGGGTCTGCACCAGAGATCCACGGCAAAATATGGTTAGTTTTCTTTTTATCATCATCACTGCATGGTGGCAGTATGTCTCCACCTTTATAGCCACTGCTAATTCACTTCTCTGTTTTTCACTATCCTTTATTGTTTCTCCTCCCTTTTTCCTCTTCTGCATTTTCACTTCTGATTCCCTTCAGAAGCCTTAACCCAATGCAGTTTCTTGCCCTGTTTGATAACATGGGCAAAAATTGAACATTAAATAAGTTAAGTATGAAATGCTGTTAACATATGAGCTCACTGGGTGAGAGGAAGTTTACATGGCTGAAGCCGCATAAGCATAACTTGGGAAAACCACATTGGAGCAAATATAATCGTTTCATATTAGGAAGATTAAAATCAGAACCGCAAATGTTAGTAACTCAAAATATCGCTGCTGATTTCTGGCTTTCAAACTGCTGGGATAACACGGCCCTACTGACCGTGCAAGACGTGGCAGGTCCTGCGCGGAGGCCACCCCTTGAGGGACCCGCAGCCCACGGCAGCTCCCCGGCTGCACGCCCGTCGTGCCCCCTGCCGATAGCCGCAGGAGAGCAGCTGTATGTACGATATAGTCTATTACACTGACCAACGGAACAGAAATGTGCTAAAGTAATTTGGGCCTCTATTTTTCTATTCGTGACCTCCAACTCCAAACTGCCAGCCAGGAACACAAATTACTTTAGCTGGGGTATCCACATGCTTGGCCACGGGCAGCTTGTCAGCCTCCGGTAAAAGATGTACTAATATACTCTGCACTCTTGAATGAGATCTGCTCTGACATTATCTGAAGATGGCTGTGACCTTCTCTAAGAAAACCAACAGATGTAGCTAGATGCACAGAATATCCTTTTTTCCTTGCACTATTGTCAGTCCAAAGGCTTTGGTTAAGCCTTCTTTCCATCTTAAGACAAATAGACTTCGATGACTATAATTCTTTTAGTCGATTGAAGAGATTAATGGAATCCTATAATGGCTAATTAGGAGCTCTCATAGTTCTTCTGCACATATTCCCTTTTGCACCATATACTTCTTCCCATCCAAAAGGTAGAGTGACATTTGATATTGTCAGTATGATACTTATGTTTTGCAAGACCTGCACATCATTCAAAGAGAAGAGGGAAACATTTTAATAACATACCTTCCCCTCTAACACCGCAGATATAATTACAGTTCTGTCTAGCTTGGGTTTCGCCATCTGTTTTATCAGTGTCAATAAAGTGATTCTGAATTTACATCACTACAAAATATGAGCTGAATCTGGCACCATACTAATGTACTTACCCTTTGTGTTATGCAAAGAAAGAAGCAATCTTAGATGGACAGGGGCAAAAGTCTCCAAAACTTTAAAATAATTGTGTGTATATATATTTATTACTATAAATAATATCACTGATAATATTCTTTATAATGCGGCACTACTGAAGCTGACGGGTGGGGGTCTTAATTACTATGCTGGGTATTTAACACTTTGGTGGCGTTCCCATCTTCACTGGCTGGTCCAAGACAAGCACCTGAGAGGAGTATCAAAACCACAAAACCGAAGGGGACCACAGTGCAGATTATTTCCTGCCACAAAGGGAGAATCCCAAGAAGAAAGTCAAGTTTGTTTAAAAAGAGATAGAAGAGGAAAACCATCACCTACAACTCATTTTCTAAGAAACGACAATTGACAAAGGAGAATACTTAATACATTCCTTCAGAAGACAGCCACCTTCAAAAGAAGCCCGAAGTGTATAGGAACAATAAAGTTCAAACAGGGCTACATTTAAAGTTTGGATAATTAGCAATCCTACCAGGAAGGATTTTCCCCTATCTCCCACTTAATAAGCTGCCTTTGTAATGTTAAAGCAATAGGGGCCAATTTCAAAAGAAAAATGGGATATTGTATCAGAGATGGCATTTTCCACATAATAAGACCTCAGATTCATTTTGATTCATTTATAGCCTGAGAGCTCACTGGATAGTTTAGTGGCATTGCATTGGAATAGATGGGTTTGGGTCAGGAATTAATCCAGAAGGTCAAAACCAAAGTGCTTCCTCATATTACCCTTGTCTAGTTTAGAGCTTTGGTATTTCTGCAGACCAGACGTTTGACACACATGAAGAAGTCTTGGTAAGAAGATTCTCCCATGTCTTTCATTCTGTTTCTAAATGCTTTCTGTTTTTCAGCTGTTATCTTACTCAGTCTACTAAATCCAATATACTCCTTGTATCTTATGCCTTACTTCTAATGCGAAAGCTTATTCCATTTGTTTGTTAGTCGCTGCACTTCAGTCTCTCATTTGCAAAGCCACCTGGATTCATGTGCCATAGCTCTCACGTGGCTTGGCCCATCTGCTCCAACAGCAGCCACTTACTGCACCGCTCAGCAACCCCGTGCTGTCCCTTGCATCTCAGAAACACCTCCATCAATTCTCAGCGTGCTCTTCACAGCTGGCTTCAGCCAAAGGACGAGGGGATTCTCCCACTCCCTTCTCCCCGCCTGCGGGGCTGAGCGGTGAACTGAATCCGTCTGCTGATCTGACTGATGACTATAAGAAAGGATTAATTGATTTGTGGGGAAGAGGAAGAAGGATTAGTTGTCAGTGGGGTAGATGGGTTGAGCTTACTTATTACCATGAGGAATAGTGAAGTGACAGAGAAACTGCCCTTTCTCAAGGCGGCACAAACCTAACCTGGCTCATGACAATCGTGAAACCAGTGACATTGTTAGTGACAATAATCCTGAAGAATCCACTCTCAATAGCATATCCTCCACAGTTCTCATCTTCTGCAAAACAGTTTTCCCAATTGGAAAGAAATATCTACCAGTAGGCTCATAGTAGGACTGGATTTGATCTTTTAACTCACTGAA